TGGGGAGATGCATGCAAGTGTTCGCTACAAATAGCTGATTCCGTTCAATGAAACTTCAAAGTTTTGCACTACAGTCACATGGAGAACCAGACACAATGAAGCAAACTAGACACAATTAGGTTATTCGGATCACTGACAAGGATTAGACTACAGCGATGTTTGTTCACCACTTCCTTACGAAAATGCTCCATAGCTAACGTGTAGATAGAAGTAACAGAAACGTTGGTGAAACCATCTTAGCCTTGCATACTGTTTCCAAAACTAGTAGCCGAGATGCGCAAGTCGCGATAGGACAACTACCATAAGGTGTCTATCACACGTTATATATTGACAAACAGTAAAAACCCACAGCAAAGTTAGACATGGTGAGCATTGACTTGAGTGCCGGGTCGGACAATCTTCTAAAATCAGACACCAAGGCCTAGCCTAAGTTAACTGATCTTTTGCTTTCTTACTATACACCTGTATCATCGGAAAGAGGTTGTGGACTGCATTGGTTTTTGTGGATGCCGACACCTAAACAGCAACTGTTTTCGAACACTGTTCAAACTAGCCAAATTATTGATACAGATAGCCCACTAAAATGGTCAATCGGTTGCGTTTCGTGGTAGTTTTACCAAATTTAGTGCGCGTAAACATAACCAGGAGACACTGCTGACAAGAAAATTGGCCTACCGACAATTTACGACCATAAAATAATTCTGTCCTCGTAGGATTTTGTATCCTAAAAAACGGCCGGAGCCTTAGATATCAACCTTCCACGCTCTCCTGACACACGTTCGCGATTATTTATCCGTACGACAAATGAGCTTGCCGTTTCGCAACCAACTTCGATGGAAAACTACTTAACAACACGTAACTCTTAGTAGTGCCGAGTAACGAAAACAGGCCTACGTGCCGCTTTAGTCGTATTCAAACATTTATATTCTGAAACAGCTTTTGTGGATCCGATATAAAGTGGCCGGTCCATTCAGACTAACCCGAAGCTTACGCCGTCAGGCGAGCAGTTAATCTACGCCAGAGACAGATAATCTCTGATAAAGCTGCACGAGCAGCCAGTTTTATGCCTACAGTTGTGGTGTGATGCCTCCTGAATAACTAACATACTAAAAGTTCTATTTCCTATACAACCACAATTATCCTTTATTTGGTTCTTTACCAGACGATGTTTGACTAGGAGTGTACACTCAACAGAATTTTGCCGGCAGCCGCCTCCATGCTATTTGATCTGATTACCTGAACTAAATTGAGTTCATTATATGATATGAACAAACTGGAGGAACTTTATACTATAGGTGTGCTGACTGGTTTTTTTAAGTTAAATGAGACAGGACATAGATGTATCGGTAAAAACTTACATGAATGGAGCATGGAGAGTGTATGTACGACTTCTTTTATGGGGTTTGTTGAAGGAGACGGATTGGTAACTGGGGTCCTGTGATTTCCCGGAGTGGAGCCAGAGTGTAGGTCACGTTTGGCATGTACAGCATTGTTAAGCAGAGTTACTATGTTTCTGAGTGCTTGGCCAGGCACTATGTTTGGCCTGGGTACAGCCCCTGTATATAACAAAATATGCAAAAACAGAGGATCGTTAAGAAAGAGCATAGTTTCTGCAAGGAGTCAGTTTGACCCAGGCAATAGGACGGTGCATAGCAAAAGCTTGGTATCAAGTAATAAAGATTCCGAAGAAGCAATGCGTTCGCAATAGGAGGAATGGGACCGAGAATTTGTTTAACGTAAAGCCACCCAATATGAAGGGTTAGTTTTTACATTTCATGCGACCGAAAACTGAGCATCCTCATCAAAATCAATTGTGTTGCAATCAAGAATTTTTTCTAACTACTTAAAAAGGTGCGCGTAAACGGAGAGATGAAAATCCAAAGTTCGTATTAGCGCTGTCTACTACATATAGAACCCTGTATTTACGCTAAGTTTAAAGTAAAGCTGAAAACACCCTATCATTGTATGGGTTTTCCAAAGCAAAACTGAGTGCACTATTCAAAACGCACTCACCAAGGGCTGAGATAAAATTGCTTAAAGGCAGCTACTTGCATAGAACGGACTCTGATGATAGAGTAGCCGCTGCAAGAGTAAGAAGACGCGAGGTCAACAGCTATCGAAAAACCCACAAACCGAGAATGACAAAGGCGCAGGGCTGTGTGCATCGATGACGGTGAGTCGATATCTAGTCATATTGAAAGCCGATGCAAGCATAACAGGTGAAACAGAACTCTAAATGATGTTTCGTTTTTATATTCTCGGTTAATTACG